TCTATTTATGTATTTTTTCAACATCATGCAATTCTCAGCCTGAGTTCAATACTGAGTACTTTAGAAAAACACAATTAGTTTTGACTATTTCATATAAAGTAAAAATAAAATAAGGCATAGTTTACATTGTTTAATGATAGGTAGCAGGAAGAATCTTATACTTGAATCAGGGATATTACTTTTATTTTTTTCTGGAAACATAATTTAAAAAGACAAAATCAGCATCACAAATTCAGATTTAAATAAAAGTTAACAAACACAATACAACATTTTTATAGGTTTATTTTTAAATACGACACACTTGGTATTAGCCTATAAGGCATCAAATGCCCATAACCTTAATAACTGCCCTTTTACAATATTAAATAACACATAATCAACATTAAATTATTATTTTTTGTTTGGCAAAAAAAGTACAATTAAAAGCACAATGAAAACCACAAAGTAATAACTCTCAGTATACTATCTAACAACCTGTCTTAGCTTTCTTGTCTGATGTGTTTGGAGCCTGGCTAGGAAGTGTGAAGGTGGCAGTGAGGAAATAAGACTGGCTATTCTGGAGACATGGGGAGTTATTAAAACTTGGATCAAAGAAAAAAACTGTCTGCTTCCCATATTTCCCTGAAATAAAATAATAATTCATGGTAAAATAATTTCTAAATACGCCACACTCTATGAGTCCGAAATTGAGAGGTTAAAAAAATTAGGCAGTTGTTTGTGGGTTGCTGAACTACCAAAACAGATCTATATTATTATGGCATCTCATTCTGAGGTTGATTCCAAATTCTTCATTCATGACCCATGAAAGACTTGTCCTAAAAGCTGACATTAAGGCATGCCAAGTCTCCTATAAGAAAATTATTCTAACATCTTTGGATATTATGTTGTTCTCTAGTTATAAAACATTCTCCTGACATACATAGTCTTGAATGTACCTAAACTTGCACACTAACAAACATAAACCACAGGAGCACTCTCAAGTGTTAGCCACGGATTTTAAAAAAATCAATTTTACGTATTTAAATAACCTCTTACTTTTTACAGTGTCAGTGCGGGAGTCAGGCAAATTATTTTCCAAAGCTTATGCCCATACAAGTTGAAGGAGAGAATATTATAGAGTTCTATGAGCCATAAAATGATATAGCTAAAAATCGGCTGAAGGACAATGTGTTAATTCTTATGAACACTTTCATACTGGGAAAGCCATTCTAATTCTTCTCATTATAGCCACTCTTTATGTCCAGTTCTTGGAAAAGTAAAACCCCATTACAGAGAACTGTGAAGACCTTATTCCTTTGTCACAGTGGAATCTAGTTGGTAGTATTAAATCTTGCTGACTAGGTGAACCATTGGTGAAGATTGTGAATCTCCTTTGTCAGACCACATTTTTGTCATAGTAGTAACTGCCACAAAGGAATCTGACCTTCAGACTGAAAAAACTTCTCCTAATACATCTGGGAACATTTTTTATTTAGCTTTAGGTGATTCATCTAGGTAAGGTTTTGCATGTGCCTGTCACATGTAAAAGATGGTGGTTGAAATGTTCAAGTCCTCTTGCCTAAAATTTTTGCCTGTCACAGAGAAATAAAATGTACAGTCACTTGGGTTCAGACCCTTAATTCCTGATATTCAATGGGTATAATGCTCACTCACTCATTTATTCTTATGCCTGGAGGCAAAGGTAAGGCACACATAAATTTGGAAGGGCAGTCTCTTTGTCTAAATTTGCACCTTGAAGGACTTGTTTTGGCACTGGTCCACCTCAGTCCCTAAAACAAGTAAGTCTGAGAGGGATGGACTCAGGTATTTTAAGCAGAGAGCAGAGCATGTGATACTGATTGATATGAAGGCAGTTCCTTATTAGCACAGGATCAAGGGGCATAGTAGTCGTGGGTAAGAGCACCCACAGTCACCAAGCACTTCATGGTTCCAAGCAGTCCCGCACCCCTCTAACTGATAAGTCAGCTGGGACATGGGGAGCCTAGAGAAAAGACATTCTTTTTATGAGGGGTCAGTACATGGTGTAGTACACGGTCTGCTTCAGATGCTCCAAATGGCTGGAAATCCGGACATACAACATCGCAAAGAAAGCACTTCAGCTCTGCCACAGACAGTTTGAGGTCCCCTAAAAAGGAACAGTTTATGAAAGTCATGAAGAGAATTAAACTGTCCATTAGTAGCATGGAGAAATGGAGAAAGACAGCTTTCTTTCTGGTACTCAACCCTTTGGGCTGCATTATTGAACAATGAGCTGCCTTCCCTTAAGATTAGGAAGGTGACTCTGAACTCAGCTTTCTGAAACCTGACACATAAATTAAAGGCCTAAACTACGGACCTCTGAAAAAAGTTTTGTTTTCCAGGTCTGGCAATAAAAACTCTCATAGATAACAACCAGCACCATGTTGAAGAGAGAGGTGTAAGGTAATAAATCTCCACGAAGGACTCAAAATCAACACCACAGCTATGGTCCACTCAGTGTCTATATCAGTTATCACCTGATCTTGACAAAGTACTTCTAAATAAATATTTAGAGCCCCCCAAAACCCTCTTCATCAGATTGGAAACATGTCTAAACTTCAGGGGTTTTAGTTGCCTGTGCCACCATGACTTTAAATTCAAGTAATCTTCCTTGGGTCCTTTTGGTGTAATGGTCTGTTCTCCTATGATTTAGAACCTTAAAAATGTGCCCTATAAATGAACATACTTAAATAATGTTGAAATAAGCATTTATTTACTACATTTCAATTTTAAAATTAAAAATATATATATTCTGACCTGTTGAATTTTTCTACTTCTGAATATTTTCTTGTCCTAATCTCTCTCTGTCTCTCTCTCTCTCTCTCTCTCTCTCTTTACCCCCCCCCCCCCCCCCACATATCTCTTTTAGGTCACATCAGAACTATATATCATTTGGTAGCACTGCAAGATATATGAAATGCTTCCAAATGAAAAGCTAAAAAGCTTTAGTGTTTTTCTCCTTTATTGTCAGTTTTACAGAATTGAAAAAACTTCCTAAACACTCGATTCTTAAATTTGTTCTAAAATAAACTGAAAATCAAGCCACACAATTAATTCAATTTAGTCTGTGATTTGGCTAAATGAATCTTGCTCATCAATAAATAAAAACAAAACTCAGCTGATCCCACTTAGCTTCTATGAATAAACATGTATTTTCAAAATGTATTTAAAACAAAAACAAATAGCTCAGACCTACTCACTCAGCCGAGCAGATCATTCCTTGATTGCCTTGACATCGTTCAAGGAGGGCCCTCAAGCAGACGAAAACCTGACAACTTATAAACCTTTAGAACGTGCAACTTACACCACTGGTAAGCTGTTCTCAACACAAACCACAAAATGACATGAGATTCACAGTAAAACAAAACGTTTGTTCAAAAAGCACAAAGAACCAGCAGTAGAAAACAGAAATCATGTACAGCTTGTCCCAATTCTTCCTGAATCAATAATAGGCTATTCTATAGGGTAACTGATCTCTCTCTAACTTCCTCCAATGTTCATATATTTCTTGGTTGTTGTTTTTTTTTGCCTAGTAGTTTTTTCACATACCCATCCTCTCTATTTTTACTGTCCTCTGATCTTCCCTTTTGTGTTTCCCCTTAACCCTTAGTCACACACTGCATACTTATCAAATCCATTTGACACCCAAGAGCTCATTCATATAGAAATCCTGACTCACACACTCTGCCAGCCAGTCACCCACGTATTCCACAGTCCTCAACAACAAAAGACTGCAGGCATTAGGAGGCTTTACAATCTGCAAAGAAATCACTTTCTTACTTCCCCATGCCTGCCCTCCCACCCCAACCCCCAGCTCCAGTCCTCTTTCAGAATGACCCCACTGAAAATGGTAACACAGTACTGGAAGCCACAAATCCTCCAGCGTGAGGTTAGAACCAACTCAAGGAATAATTGCAAAATTCAAGATCTTTCTGAGGCTGCACTTCCTGAACCACTACCACAGGGAAGATGATGTGTTAGCGTGTATACTGGGTGTTTTGCCACATTGCCCATCATGCCTCTCATAGGAGCTTCCTGAGCTCAGAATGATGCCTAGACCATTATGATGAGGGGTGCAGTTCCCATTGACTCTCTCTCCATTTTAATTTTTTGTCTATGGGCTTAAGGACTGCTGCCATCCTGGGGCAATGTCTCATTGCATGGCCTAGAGCCAGTGGTGATACATGCTTCTAGGCACAGTCCCCAAGTCCAGCTACAATTGTATTGGAAGTTTTCTCCAAACAACAAAACATCACCTGGGAGTGTGCCTGAGCCAATCATGACTCAAACCTGCCTAGATGTTTGCATGTCTGGAAATATTTTTAAAATGTCTTACGAACTGCCTCTCTGATGTAAGAGCCAGGAAGGACTTCAAGAGCATGGGTAACCAGTATCATAGCTAAACCACAGACAAAAAGTGAAATTTATATCAGCCAGTAATTTTATTTCATCTAGAGAATGGGCATGAGATACTGGCTAATATCTGGCATTACCATTATGGGTTAAATTCAGATTGGTCTCATAATGATTTATATAATTTCCTTTTACTAGAAAATGTATTCTAATGACTTAATTACCACTTCTGAGTACAGGGGTAATTTTAAATATATGCAATTTATAGTTAAAAAAAATAAAATAACCAACAATCCTCACTTTTTGAAACATTCAAACTCAAAACCCTATATTTTAGTGTGCAGCCAAATTATAGGAAAAAAATATCAAAAAAATGAATAAGAAACTTTAAGAATCCTATATAATAAAAGGGTAATATGCTGTGTCTCAACCAGTCACTGTAACACCCACTGACCACCAGGGGGTAGACGCTCCAACTGGTACGTTATGTTGCTGCTGGGGTCTGGCTGATTGGGACTGGGTGAGAGGTCCCGACATGCCAGGGAGCCCTCCTGCAGTCCCTCCCCGGCCAACCCCTATTAGCCTCAATCAGGACTGGGTGAGATGGCCCCAATTGGCCCAGATCACTGGCCATGTTGAGGGACCCCACCCGTGCACGAATTCGTGCACCAGGCCTCTAGTTAACTATAAACCATATTATATGATTAGTGCTTAAGCTCTTTTTGACAAAATTGATGTCTACAATTGATCTGTGTATGGGAACTCCTAGTATCCAAAGAATAATATCCTATATCTTATCAAAGAAATCATTAGTACACTGGGCCATTAGAAATATTTTGCTGGAGAAGTAGAAGTTGATGGCCATCACAGATTAATCTATCTCAGCTCTTTAGAAGGACAGGTGTAGCTGAGTGTGGTTTCTTAATGCAACTTACATGGCTTTTCTTCTAAATAAAAAATATGTGGAGAACAAAAACACTCACAGGCTATTGGTTTGGGAAATCAATTTTTCTTGCCAGGCAAACAAACTGCACTGTTAATTTTAAGAAATGGGGTTTGTGTGTGTGTGTGTGTGTGTGTGTGTGTGTGTGTGTGTGTGTGTGTGTGTTTTCATATAAAAAATGCCAAGGCAGACTCTCAAGTTCACAACCAGAGTTAACTCTGTACAGCCAGAGCATCTTCCTCTACCAAGGACAGCTCCAGGGCATTGTCATGACTGCTGGTTTTCATCCTGAAGCTGAAGGAACCATAGAGTTTTGCAGATTCTTTGGAAGCGGCAAACCTGTTGCGACGGTACAGCTCCCCCTTCCACATAGACATCATTAGCAAACAGGACAGAACGACCCCCCCAAGAGTAAGCAGGCAGAGCCCGGCAATCACACAGCGGTCCAGATGCGCCCCCAACCTGGCGCTCTCCTTCTCCAGGCGCTCCATCTCCCGGGCTGCCACGCTGTTGGGATCCACAGTCACTTCCCGTGGGACGATGTAAGAGATGATCACCAGCAAGATACCAGTGACCAAGAACAAGACGGCGCTGATGAAACCATAGTCTACGGACTTCCCTGAAGACGTGGCTTCTGAACTCGTGTCCTCTTCATCGTCAGATATCAAGGAGATGGCAGCTTCGTGGGACCACTCGTTGGGATTTCCCCAGCCAAGGTCTCCCTGGTGATTACTCCCTTTGGCTGAAGGGGAGCTCTGGTTCCTCTGCTCCAAGTTCACATTCTCGTCCACGTAGGTGAAAGAAGTTTCTAGTTCCTGGCTGCAGCAATTGCAGACTTTCCGTTCTGCTATTTGGTGATTCCCTGAGCTGAGAGGTCCTGGTGGGAAGGAGTTTGGCTGGATCACGCTGTCTTGCAGAGAGGGGGAGGGGGAAGGGGAAGCTGGAGAAGGACCAAGTTTAGAGCCTTCCACCTCGGCTGCTCTTGGCGGGGACGTGCAGTGTCTCTGGCAGCAGAGAGCAGCTTTGGTGGCTGCTGCATCTGCCTGGTCAGCTGGAGGCCCTCCTGAACCCCAGTCCGCAGCATCACACCAGGCTGCCTGGCCGCTCTTCCTAGCAAGATGGTGGGGCTCCATTGGAACTACCCGGACATCCCCCAGCAGCTCCCAGAAATTCTGCCAATAGCAGCACAGAGAAGAACCAACTAAGGCTGCACCACCAGGAGTGCTGCTTCGGAGGCCCCCATCTCCTTGGCAGCCACAGTGTTGACACTTCAAGCCCAGGTCGTCCTGAAAGGGGGGAGGGAAAGCAGAGGATGTCTAGTAGCTAGAAAGTGTGAAAAGGGCAAACCCTCTGATTTATCACAGGGATTAACACTAGGAATCTCAGGTCAGGGAAGAAAAGGAGCAGGGAGGAAGCAGCAGTGTCTCTGAAGAAGGCATTGCCGTCACCAGGCCAAATTTATCCAAGGATTCACACATCTCTGTGACAGGATCCCTCAATGAGAAGGCAGGCTTCCTGTGCAGAGACACAAATGAGAAAGGCAGGGACCTTTTTTAGCAGAACTGCTGATTTTCTGGAGAACCCGGGAAGCACAGAATTCTCAACATTTCAGTTAAATTATAAGCATTTACCCTCTCTCTAATTCAGAGCAGATTCTAATACAGATTAGCTTTAGCGCATCACCACGGGTGAACGCATATGTCACTATCAGTTGGGCTCTGTTGGAGCTGGGGCTCAGCATTTTGACTGTGTGGGTGAGAGAGGGCAGCTTAATCAGCCATCTCTCCTAACCTTGCACTGCATGCGTCCAATGACCCTGGTCACACAGCCCTGTATTTACAAGACCCCAAGCTTGTTCACTGTGCTTCCCTTCTTAACCCATCCTCTTGCTGCTACACGAGGGCAGCATGTTATGGACCTGGAAGTATGTTGACAACATGCCTCATGGTGTGATCCCTGCAAATACTATACGCCAACCCACTCCTACACACACACACACACTCACACACACACACACACACACACCTCTGCCTGCTCCAGGTACAGGTCGACTACTGCTGCTCACTAACTCTGTAGGGGTCTGAGTTCCTCTCCCTCTGCAGGTTTTGCTAACACAAGTGCACAGGATCTTGACCAGAAGTTTTACAAACCCAATCTAGAAGGAAGCTGACAACAAAAGACGAATTATAAACCCACAGAGTCAGGGTTTGGTTGAGGCAAATAGGTGAGAAGCAATTTCCAAGGGTACCTCTGGAACTTTGTATCCATGACACTCCTTCACCCCCAGCGCAGCAAGGGACCTTCCTGGGACAGAACTATTAAGTTAAACAGAAAACCATTTGCCCATCTTTCTCTGCCTCTGACATTTTTCTGAGGAATAAAAATTCACTTTCTAAAGTACAGAGGTTTCAAAGAAATTAAAGTCCCCAAGTCCAGGGTAGTAATTGATTTAACCTAAGGCTTGGGGGTTTATTATGATTCAAAATCCACAGCTCCAAGAGCTGGTAACCCACACAGAAGCACAGGTAAGGCTAAGGTCAATCTGACAACTCACCTAAAACATGGGAGAGGGAATCCACACGTTTTCTGCTATACATTAGCTTTTTTTTAAACCCACTTTCCTTCTATTTTTGGAGTTTCTCTGCAGCTAAAACAAAACAAACAAAAATACACCAAGTGCAGGAAAATCACAACTGAACCAGAGCTTTGCCTGAGCGAGTGGACAGATCCCTGCTGCAGGATCCCTCAGTGAACGAAGGGATGTAAGGAGTTTGATTACTGAAAGGAGAAATCATCTCTCAGGTCGCTCAGACATTAGGCGCCCCGATGAACCTTTGGCACAATGAACTCATCGCACTGGACTACTTGGGATAAAATCGGCAAAGTCCCTTAGGGGGCTTCCAATTTATAATAACAAAGAGGGAGAGAAATCTCCACTTGATTCCCTGGTCCTACGTCTGTCTATCTTTTCTTCAAAGAGAGACTCCTCTGGTTCCAAGGGAGATATACTAGCCTTACAGTGGATTTCCTTTGCAGCTCCTTGATCCGGGGTTTCCATCCTCGAGGGAGAAGAGATAATCCCAGGAGACCTGCTAAAGGCTCTTTCCAGCCCTCCCTTCCCTTTCTTCTCTCCGGTTTAAGAGCGCAATTGATGAAACTGCACCTCAAAGCAAGGAGACAGCAATCTCCCTCGTCTGTCGCCATCCATTAAAGCATGAATATCTGCGCTGGAACTAACTGACAGGGGCGAGGCTGGTCTGGGGAGGGCGACCTCGGCATGCGTCCTGGGAGCGCTGTGCCGGACCACGCTGCAAGCACTGGGCAGCGAGGAATCAATCAATTCATTCCCAGTGAACTCCGCACCCTCGGGAAGCACCCGGGCTCGGGCTGCATTCGTTCGCGGAGTACCCTGAGGCTGGGCAGGCACCTCGGGCAGAAAGTGGGGACTCGCTCCCCTGCTCCGCCAGGCTCCCGGGGTCCCTCCCTCGCTCCAGTGCCTCCTCTCCTGCTCTCCAACCACTCACCTGCTTGGGCCACCCAGTGCGGCTGCAGAACCGCGCTAGTCCCCGCGGGTTCCTCGGGAAAGTCCGCGATCACCGCCGTGGCACTTGTAGCCACCGCACACAGCGGAGCTCCTCGCGGTGGGCTGCGCCCCTGGTGCCAGAGGGGCGGGGCGGGGCGGGGCGCTCCCTCTAGCGGAGCATCCCGGGAGATGTAGTCCGAGGGCGGGGGTGGGGCTGCCTGCCTCCCTCAGGTCTGTTCTCTCTCCCACCTCCTGGCTTCTGCCCTTCCCTTTACCACCACACTCCTGCCTCCTAAACTCAAGGTGGGGTCCCCCAGCCTCAGGTGTAGCCACAGGATTATGGGGGAAGGAGTGTACACTTAGTCCCTACCAAAATATATGCATATTTTGTCTGATTTAATAGAAAACATCTAATTGGACTTTATTAATCCTTTTCCAGATGAGGAAAGAGGCTTAGAGGAATTATATGCCTCATCCAAGGTTTCAAAGACAATTTAAGTGGTTGCTAATAAATTGTATCCAGGAACCTGTTTCTAAAGTCATTACCTTGCCCACAAAATCAGGAAAAATGTGGCTATTGAGGATAAGAGATTGTCCTGTTCACCTTCGTATCCCCTGTGCAGAGTGTCTGGTATCTGTTGAATCATGAACAGTAATGGTACAAAGAAACAATGGACATAAATAGCACATTGCCAGACTCCCCTCATCACTTCAGAGACAGGTACTCGGCTTTTTGAAAGTTGGCCTAATGCCACCTCGACTTGTAATCCAGAGAGGATTTTGACTTTTATGAAAAAAAGTGAAAAGCCAGAATAGTGGTTGGCATTTGTTTGCAGCAAGCTGTTATAGAGGCAGTACGCACTGGTGAGTGAAACAACATGGTACACATACTATTTCTACTCTATGTAGGCTGTGTATTTATCACATCATTCCTTTTACTATGTCAGTGTTATTTTAGGTTTTATTTGGTATGATTTAGAAGGTTATTTCTGAGATCTGGGAATGCCCAAAAATGTTCCCCATGTACATTAATGGTAATTACTTCTTTACTTCAAGCCATTTCAGCTTACAAAAGGTTTCATAGGAACATTCTACTTTTGGATAAGAGGGGTGGGGAACCTGCACATTAACTCATTTAATGCTCACAATTAATTTTTAAAGTCCTGTGAAGATCTGTTTTAAAGAAGAGAAAACTGAGTAGCCCAAAGTCATACAGCTAGTGCTCAGCAGAGGTGGGGCATGAATCACAACAGCTGCTAAGTCTTAGGCAAACTGAGTGAATAGAGAGAGGACCTGAAGGCAAGAAGACAAAGGGTTAGAAACAAAGGAAATCTGGAGGTTGAAGCTACTGAGTTGTGACTCCCACATTAGGACAAAGGAATTCCTTGGGGTCATTAATTAACCTCTTTCTAACCAGAGTGGACTGCAGCAGCCAAAGGAAATGTGTGGTTTGTGGATCATCTCCAAGTTTTCACCATCTCCTTTGGGGTGATTCTAGGGTTATTGATTGCTTTCATCCAAGGGGAGCAACAGAAGGGTTATACTATTTATAGCATTTTGCTATTTGTGAGTGGCTCAGAAATTCTGTGGTTGCTTGTTTTCAAGTGATACATCAGTCTCCTATAGTGATGATTTTGTTGGTTTTCTTTTATATTAATAGAACCCATAGTCTCATAGTTCCAGGGACTTCCCAATCCAACCCCTTAAAAGTCTTTTTCCCCCTGTGGCTCTCTTTTAGCAAGTTGGGCCCATGTGCTTTGTAAATATGACATGTTTATTATGGTTTCTTTTTCTTTGCTCATTACCCTGTTCTGCAGTGAGAATATCCTTCCTCCATTTCCCTGTTCTCTCCACTATTCAAGGACAATCTCATCCAGCCACATTTACAGAGATTCAGTCTGTTCTTAGGACTGTATATTTAAAAGGGAACACAAAGACACCATAGGGTATCTAGAAGAGAGCGGGTAAAAAGTTGAAGAAAATCTGAACTCACATTGGACAAGGAGATGCTGAAGGAACTTGGGATATTTAGCCAGAGGAGGAGACCTAGAGGAAAGGAAAAACTAGCTTTAAATAATTTGAAGTTTGTAAAATAGACAGAAATTGTATATCATGATTAAAGAGGGTAAAAGCAGCCAGCCGGTGTGGCTCAGAGGTTGAGCATCAAGCCATGAACAGGAGGTCATGGTTGGATTCCCAGTGAGCGAGTTGGATCCACAGTTGGGGCAGCTGATCGGTGATTCTCTTTTATCATTGTTGTTTCTCTTTTCCCCTCTTCCTTCCTCTTTCTGAAAAGAAAAAAAAAAGAGGGTAAAAGCAGAAAACATAACAATAATAGAATTTTATTAGTCCTAATTGTTATCATCTTTCTTATACCAACTCTATAAGGTATCCAGTATTACTGTACCCATTTTATAGTGTAAAAATTGAGGTTTAAAATGCTGTCATCTCTTTCCCAAAGTATGAGAACTAATAACTAACAGAGCCAAGATTCTAACTTTGGTCTGTCTGATTCCAGAACCTGGATCTCTTCACTACCACGCTATACAGAGCAATGCTTCACAATCCATTACTTAATAGGTGATAACAGTTAATGCACTGGAATAAACACAGGAGGTTTCTCCTGGTCACAGTTCTGACGCTGTGGCTACGTCAGGGCTGGCAGTACAGCTTGGAGGGCAAATGAATAAATAAGCCAGCAAATCTGTGATACACTGTGGCCCCTGAGAATGACCAACACAGGGAAGGTCTGGATAGCACTGTCAGATTGAATAAAGAGGCTAATTTGGGGCTGAATATAAGGAAGAAGCTCTTATACTTCTTACATTTCATGTTCTTATCATTCAAGATTTGGATAGCACTATCAGATTTAATAAGAAAGCTAATTTGGGGCTGAGCATAAGGAAGAAGTGCAAGTTGTCTCTCTAAGAACTTGAAATAAGATGTCTTATGAAAGTGAATTCTCTATTACTGGAGAGAGAAAAAAAATAAAGAAGAGCCATTTATTAGTGATGTCGTAGGAGGGAGTCATCTTGGTTTAGAGGAACTTTGTAGTTTCCCTGCTGTTACATCTCTTTCATGAGCCCTTGTCCTCCAAGCCAGCCCCCAAAGAGTCTGCCTCTGATGGACTTTGCTAGGACTCGTCTGCACTGATATTTTTAATATTTATCAGCCACCACCTTGTGACTTTACTTGTATGTCCAGGTGATACCATTGTAATGAGCTAGTTATTAATAATAGGAAAGGAGCAAAGGGGGAAGCCATACATTATAGGCACATCATTTGGGCAGCTTCACCAGGAAGCTGCAACTTTACACTCCCCAGGAACCTCCAGTCCATTCCCTGCAGAACACCGGGGGAAGAGACTGGACAAAGGGGAAGCTGGGTACATGCTCAGTGAGTGGGGGTGACATAGGGAAGATGCCTGTCAGTCAAACCTGGAAACAGATCATTAGCCAGAGCGGGCAGAGTCACTAAAAACCTGTGAAACTTTGGGGATACATAATCTCAGACCAAAGAATTCTCACTCCCTTGGCTCTTGCAGCTCTTGACCCTTGGCTTCTGGCTCTCTTGCTCATGTTCCCTCCATAGCTGTGGGCCCTTCGGAACCCACAGGCAGTGGGCTGATAAACTGCAGCAGGGAACTAAGCTGGCCTGGTACTGGATTGGACTGTGTCCCAACATGGAACGGAAATTCTGGGCAACAACTCTAATCCTATGTCTGCGGAAAGCAAAATGGGACTTCTTCCTTGGTGAGATGAAGGGAAGTGGAACCTTGGAAACTCAGGGGTTTAATTCCACAGAAATAAAATTTCCTGCAATAACTCATCCTCTCTTGTGAGTCTCAGAAAATTCCTTTCCTTGTGATATTGTGAGAAACCCACATCTCCCAGAAACAGGTGGGGATAAGGAGCGCTCCCCACCTGTAACAGAGGTGGCTACTGCATATTGTTTAATTTCTCACTTAGGAGCCTAAATGTCTAAGGGAAGTTGTAAGCTCCTCAATGTCAGTATCCATGTATGAAATGTGTTATTACCTCCTGCAGAAAGTGCAATGTTTCTTTTGAATAGAATGAGGAAAATGACAAGACTGAACTGAGACTAGAGATGATTACCAATGTTATTCTTTCTCATTTCTATATATAGTACACTTGACTGTCTACATATTTTTGAGCATTAAAAAATATCAACTCTGTGCCAACATACTACAAAATAGCCTTCAAAGTCTTGCAGAAAAAGAATAAGTGTGGCCTGACTGAACTCCTGAAAGGAAAAGCTCTGCAAAAATACCACTTGCGCTCTCTCTCCTATAAATCCTTGTCTAAAACTTTCCTCAAAATCTGACCCAAGAACTTTTTCAAAAGCCTTTCTTGCTCAACATCCCCAACATCAGATTACGCTTCCAATTGGCATTCTAGTGGCATAATACACTTTTTTATACTGTCATTTTATATCTATAGAAGTATGCCATGTATATTTTTACTGCTTTTGATGTGGTCTCTCTTCCCAGATAAAATTTAAGCTGCTTGAGAACCAATATATTCTCCCTGTAAATTTAAGGCTACACATGGGCATGAGACAGTAAAAAACATGGGCAACAGTGGTTCCTTATTCTATGCTTACAAAATGATTGACACTAGTAAAATGATATTAAAGTCTAATGATTTTGAGCTTCCATAACTTTTAATGTATCTCATATTTTTCTGTTATACTCTGTGAGAGCTGGGAAAATAATCATGATCACATTAAGTTAATCAATGGAAAAATAGATTCTGAGAAGTAAATTTATCATGTGAATCAAAGGTAGTGGAGGGACTTTTAACTGCCTTTTATAATGATGAATGAGGATGCTTTCCAGTTTTCTCTCTTCAGTATAATCATGACTGATTATAAATAAATATTCTTAGTGAACTTGGAGTTATCAGAGAGGTTGGGAAATAATTCTTAGAATTGTCTGGATAGAGGCCCAGTCATATAATGGGAATAGTACAAAGAATATGACTTACTTTGTGCCCCAAGCTGGCTCTTCTGAATGATGGTAGAAAAGAAAAATAACCAAAATTTAGAGTAATGAAGATTGCATTTACTATCA